AAGAGGCCAAAGGCAGCAGGTCACAAGGCAGAAAACCAGAACTGGTGATGTTAAACCTCTAAATCACCAGCCTGAGCAGCTGAGGTGTTCTCCATGTACCGTGGGCTGGAATCCCCAGCTCCTTTTCCTTTGGAAAGCCCAGAGAAGTCGCTGGTTGAAGCACCCTCCAAGCAGGGCCTGTCCCATATCCAGGTGTGCCACATGTTAATTAATGTCACACAGGAGTGCACTGCTGGCTGGGATGGCACTCAGAAATGTCCCAGGGTGCCATCCCTGTGCCCTCACCTTGCCACTGCTGCTGCGTGGGCTTTTGGTACCTAAAGGGGGCTTGTCATGTTCACATTTTCTGAAAAATCCCTTCGGCCGGGATTTTCTCCTGGGAAGCTGAGAAGCCTCAGAGAAAAAGGAAACAATAATGATCTGAATTGCTTCTCCTGTGTTTTGCTCATGTGGAATGTGTTTGGGGATTGTTCACCCACAGGTGATTGTTTCATTGGATTTCTGCTGTGCGTTGTTTTGACTCTCTGGCCAATTGGGGCCAAGCTGTGTCAGGGCTCTGGAAAGAGTCACGAGTTTTCATTGTTATCTTTTTAGCCTTCTGTAAGTATCCTTTCTGTATTCTTTAGTATAGTTTAGTTTAGTATTCTTTAATATAATATAGTATCAGAAAATAATAAATGAGCCTTCTGAGAACATGGAGTCAGATTCATCATTCCTTCCTGCCACGGGCACCCTGCAAACACAAGAGGGGCTTTTGATGAAGGTGGGGATGAACGTCTCAGAGGAGCTTGTACAGGGGAAAATGGGTTTTAATTAAAACAGGGCAGATTTAGACCAGATATAAGGGAGAAACTTTAAAAGGAAGGTGGTAAAGCCCTGAAATAGGCTGCTGGGAGAGGTGGTGCCTGTCCTGTCCCTGGAAACATTCAAGGCCAAGTTGGAGGTGGCTTGGAACAATCTGGGATAGTGGAAGGTGTCCCGGCCCATGGCATGGGGTGAGAACAATTTGATCAATAAAGTCCCTTCCAACCCAAACCATTCTGTGATCAGGAGCCTCCCTGGGGTTCAGTTTTGGTTCTGAGTCCTCTGCAGAGCCCCAGGCTGTGTGAGGATGCAGCGACAGCACAGAGGGGACAGCGAGCAGTGCCTGCTCCTGTGGGTGCTGCTCTCCCAGCCTGCCTGGGCTCCTCTTCTCTCAGCCCTGAGTCATTGTGAAACCCTCAGCTCTGGGGCTGCGGGGCTGCCAGGGGCTTGGCTGTGGCACAGCCCAGTCCTGTGCTGAGAACCTGATGAGAACCTGGTGAGAACCTACTGGGAACCTGCTGGGAACCTGCTGAGAACTTGTTGAGAATTAGGAACCTGCAGAGAACCTGGTGAGAACCTGCACCTTGCTGAGAACCTGGTGAGAACCTGGAACCTTGCTAAGAACCTGGTGAGAACCTACAGAGGATCTGCAGGGAACCTGCAGAGAACTTGGCACCCTGGTGAGAACCTGCAGGGAACCTGCAGGGAACCTGCTGAGAACCTGCACCTTGCTAAGAACCTGGTGAGAACCTGCTGGGAACCTGCTGGGAACTTGTGTGGCCTTGCTTGCCCCATAACCACCATTCATCTGCTCTTTTTCTGCTCTGAGCAGGCTCTGGCAGCAGCAGGGATGGGGCAAGGCTTCTGCCAGGTTGGTGTGGCAGGATTGAATCCCTTCCTCCCTGGGATGCTCCTGCTGGTTTGAACCCCCACTGCTGGTGGGGGAACCTGGGGTGTGGCTGCATTTCTCTTCACAGACAAGAGCAAGGCACTACTTCCCAAGGATGTTTTCTGGGAATTGCAGCGAGGAAACTCAGAGACAAAAAACCCAAAACAATTATCATCTCAATTGCTGCTCCTCTTGTGCTCATGTGGAATGTGTTCTGGAGATTGTCTACCCGAGGTGGCCAACTGCATCCACGTGTGTGTGTCAGGACTGAGGGGAGACAGTCACGAGGTTTTGTGGAGTTGGGTGCTTGTGCAGCTTCAGTGTAGAAGTAGTGTAATATGGTGTAATATAGTGTAGAAAAATATAGTATAATAAAGTAATTAATTAGTCTTCTCATATGATGGAGTCAGATGCATCATTCTTCCTGCTCGGGGGCACCTTGCTTTTACAATATGGGGGTTTTGGTGCTGGGGAGCTCTGGGTGTAGGAGATGGAGGTGCAGTCCCTGAGGAACTGGGAGTGCAGTCCTTGAGGAATTGGGGGTGCCATCCCTGGGGAGCTGGGGATGCAGTCCCTGGGAGCTGGGGATGCAGACCCTGGGGAGCTCTGGGTGCCATCCCAGGGCTCCTGAGCTCCAGCTTCCCCTCTCCATCCCCCGGAGCAGCAGCTGGGTGCCTGCAGAGCCCCGCGCTGCGCTGCTGGCGCTGGTGGTGAAGGTGAGCATCACTGGGCTGTGGCATCTTCAGCAATCCCCAGTGTTAAAAATAAGTTAGAAACGCTTGTAAAATAGTTGATAATTGTTAATTGTGCTGTTAGCTCGGTTATTCTGTTGTGAAAGGGGTTAAAAGGGTCGCGATAAGCAATGACACCGAAGCACAGAGCACCACCCCAGCGGAACGAGCCAGCCTGGGCCGAGCTGCCGCGGGCCAATCGAGCCCCAAACCGCCATGCACAGGGAGGATCCGAACAGAAACCAACCCAGGGGGACAAAATCAGGATGCAAAGGGGCATCTGACCCGGGGAAGCTGTGCCATTCCCCGGGGACACCGGGGCCATCGCTGCTGGAGCAGCCCCAGCCCGGCGCTGCAGCGTCCTGGACGGGATTGCCCCTGCCCGGCCCGGGCCCGGCTCCAGGCCTTTCTTTTATCAGAATAAGTGCTGAAATCACCTTTAGTACTCTTTGCTTTAGATCTTTTTTTTTAAAATAAAATAAATGCTGAAATCACTTTTAGTACCCCTTGCTTTAAGCCTGTCTTTTTATTATAAAAAATGCTGAAATCATCTTTAGTACCCTTTGCTTTGAGCCTTTCTTTTATTAGAATAAATGCTGAAATCACCTTTAGTGTCCCTTGCTTCAGGCCTTTTTTTATTATAATAAATACTGAAATCACTTTAGTACCCCTTGCTTTGGGCCTCTCTTTTATTATAATAAATGCCGAAATCACTTTTAGTACCCCTTGCTTTAGACCTTTCTTTTTATTAGAATAAATACTGAAATCACCTTTAGTACCCCTGGCTTTAGGCCTTTCTTTTTATTAGAATAAATGCTGAAATCGCTTTAGTACGGGGAGTGTGGTCCCGTTTTTAACACCCAGCTCTGGTAATTACTCAGCCTCTCGCCGCCTGAGGGAAGGAATTGGCAGCTCTGCCAAGTCAGGGCTGTGCCCTCCACTCCCCTCCGTGACCTACGTGCCCAGCTGGGGTTCTCAGCCCTGTTTTTGTTGCTCCCCCTGGCCTCTTTCACGGCAAAAGCCCCAATTTCTGTCACGTGCTGCCAAAATCTAGGACACAGAGAGGCAGGAGCTGCGTGGGCCTGAGCGGTGCCGCCAGCTCGAGTTAAATAACAAGTGTTAAAACTACAACCACAACAAAATGAGGAAAGTTCTGAAAGCTTTGCAATTCAAATGGAGTTACAGCAGAGTTTACTTGTTTTAATTTTGCCCCTTTTGTGCTTAAGGTCCCTCATTTCACCTCAAGGCTTGTCCCTGGGCTTTGTGGCACCCTGGGAGGCTGAAGGGTCATGCTCATCTTCCTCGTGACAAGAGACAAATTTTTTCACTGTTCCAAGTGAGGTTTGGTTCCTCAGTCCCAGCACATGACAGGAGGTGTCTGTCTGTCTGTCCTGCTGTGTTCAGGACACATTTCCACCCTGGTGTTCAGCTGGGATTTGCCCTCCTCATGTTGGCCAACAGGAGATGATGAAGAAAGTTAATTGCTTCCCTGGCAGCAAGTACAGCACTGGGTGCTCAGGGCTTTAAGGAAAGTGTCTAAAGAGAGAAAAAGCAGCAGAAGCAGCAGCAGAAAGGTCCGAGGCAGCTCCAGGTGGAGATGCAGAATTTGAGCTGAGTGGAGAGCAGGAGCAGCGAGGTCAGGAGGTGATTTAGGCTCTCAGTTCTGGGGCTGCTGAGCAGGCAGCGCTCTCAGGGGGAGGATACCCAGCAAGGAAACCCAACTTCTGTGGGATAGCAAAACCAGAAACCACCACCTTTGATCTCTGCCACGGCTTCGTGCTCTTACTGTAACACCCAGACTGCCACTGAGATTGGCAGGAACTGCATCAGCAGCGGGGCTAAGGAGCCCTGCTGGGGCTCACAGCAGCTTTTGGGGAGGCAGGAGGAGCAAAAGGCCGGGTTTGTGGTGGTTTTTTCTCCCCAAACACTGATGTTTTGGGCTTATGCTGGGACCTGAGGGATGTGCAGAGCTGCTGCCCACACCCAGCACAGGTCAGGTGCAGCCTGGAGGGATGCTGGGTGCTGCTGGTGCCAGGATTCCAGCTGGAATTGGGTCACCTGCATGACTTGTGATGGTGCCCTGGATCTCCCAGCTCTCCAAGCTGCCATCTGGGCTTTTTCCCTGTTTTTTTTAAGCAGTGCATCCTGTGCACAGAGCTCCAGCAGTGGGAAGATGCTGCTGGAGCATTGCACGATTGATGGGATTGCTCCTCCCCTGGTGCTCCCCTGCTCTAAGGGATCAATGCCAGGTGTTTGGTGAAAAATTTGCTTTTAAATGTGACAGACCTCAGGTTTTCTCACTTCTCTGGTGTTAACACAAGCAATGTGTCCCTGGGGGTTCTTCCCACCTGGCTGTGTGCCTGCTGGGCTCTGTCCCAGCCTGGTGACGCTGGTGACACTGGTGACACCGGGCACAGCACCCATGGCTGGAGCTGATTGACATCCCTGCTAAGAGCCCACAAGGACAGGACAGAGGCTGCATTCATTAGAGAGTCTTTATTAGCAAAAATAAAGGATTTCTTGTCATATCATTTCAGATAAATAGGTGGCAGTTCACCCAGTGACAGAAGCCGTGCTGATGTTGTCCTTGGCTCCAGGGCTGTCCTTGCTTCTCCCACGACATCGAAGGTGTTTGGAGGGAAAAACAAGCTCAGAATTGGCTCAACTGGAGCTGAATGTGCTTCGTAAGAAGCTTAATTTAAGTTTTACAGTCTTTGGCTGCCCTTGAGCCTGAGCTTTCAGCAGGAGGAGCGACCCATGGAGCAGGATTCCTGCCCTGCTCTGGAATATCCAAATCCCATGCAGGCAATCCCCTGCTGCCACCAGAATTGTCCACACAGAATAAATCCCATATAAATAACCTCTCCTCAGCTGGGACTTGCACAGTAAACACCAAACTGGCAGTGTTTCATCAGCTGGGGGCCTCTAAACTTCTAAATATTAGAAGCAAAAGCCTCTCCTGGGGTTGTGGCATTTACCTCTGGCTCAGGGTCCACGGGGGTGAGGAGCAAGCTGAGCCCTAAAATCAGCCACTTTTGGGGGCACTGAAGCTGCTCCCAGTGCTGGTGAGGATCCAAAACCCAATCCCAGCAGTGCCCCACGGATTTGAATGCAAATTACCCGAGCCACCTTAAAATGGTGGTTAATTAATTATCCTCTAACTTCTAAAAGAAAATGAACAGCAGTAAAACAGTGAGGAAACCCAGTCAGAGACTGGAAAACAGTAAGGTTAACTTTGGAAAGTGCAGGGTTCCAGCAGCTCTGGAAGGCAGATACTGAGCAATATTTAACCAAGTTCTATTAGAACCAAACATTTCATTCCTATTATTAATTTTTTTAATTTAGTCTGGACTAATCTACAGGCTGAAGTCTAAAGTGGAGTCAGCCAAGCTGTTGGTGTGGCTTTTTCTCCTCCTAAACATAAAAGCACCTGATTGCATAAATAAACAGAGATATAGGATACGAGGAGAGGGTAATTTAACTCAAATGAAATTTTGTTGAACTCGGAGCTGGCCTTGCTCCTAATTCACTTGGGATAAGCTCAGCTCATTGTCTGCCCTCCAGAAAAATGCTGCTTTGGATGTTTGAAGCTATGAATAAAATAGTACTATGATAAACAATATTAAAATATTAAACAATAAATAGTAATTTACAACCTCATCACTCCTTTCTTCAAAACATACTGTAAACATCAACACTGAGGTATTAGAAGTAATAAATAATAAATTCAACTATTCCAAAAATAGCTCTTAAATACAATATTAAGCTGGAAGTTATTGTAACTCTTAACCTGAACCTTGAGATAACTTAATTTGAGCTCTTGCAGCCAAAAGTGATTTTTAAACGGGGTTTGGTGTGGAAAATGCAGACCCAGGGGTGCTCTCAGTTCCTTCTCTTCATTGTTAAATATTTTTCAATGTAGTTGATGAAGATGTCAAACTCCCCCATGGCCTTGTAGATTCCATTCTTCTTCATCTGCAGGGGAAAGCCAGGCGTGGTCAGTGTGGCTGGCACAGATATGTGATGTCCAATACCTGGAGAAATTCTCCTTCCATGGACACCTCCAGCTTCTCTGCCCCATCCCCTGGGAATTCCAGAATTCCTGCCCTTGCTCCAGAATTCCCACCAGATTCTTGCTCTCTGCTGCAAGAATTTGTGTGATTAAAGCCGTTTTTGGGTTCTGTTCCCCCTCTGAGCCTCTGCCCCACCCTTTCCTCACCCTGCTGAAGGTCTCCTTGATGTGCTCCATGCTGCGGCTCCTCTCCTCACAGGTGAAGAATGTGTGCTGCAAAGGGACACCAGCACGGCCTCAGCCCCAGGCTCCCTCCCCAGGGCTCTGCTGGTGGCTGTCCCCTCCTCCTGTCCCACCTTGCCCTGCCCTGTGTGCCCACAGGGCAGTGATGCCAGCTGCCTGGCACCGTGCCCTGCTGGAAGGAGCCTGGAGTGCCCCAGCCCGGGCTCCCAGCCTGGCCCCAGCCCTGTGGCCCTGCTGCCAGTCCCTGGGGACAGCAGCTCCCTGTGTGGGACAGGGTTTGTCCCACCTGACCCCATGCTGGAGCTCCAGCATCCAGGTAAGGGGCAGATCTCCCCCTGCCCTCCCTTTGTGTCTGCAGCCAGGCTGGTGCAGGGCTGGCTGCACCATCATCCCTGAACTGCTGTGAGCACAAACCCCATCCTGGAGCCCTGGACCCCACAAACCCCATCCTGGATCCCTGGATCCCACAAACCCCATCCTGGACCCCACAAACCCCATCCTGGAGCCCTGGACCCCACAAACCCCATCCTGGATCCCTGGATCCCACAAACCCCATCCTGGACCCCACAAACCCCATCCTGGAGCTCTGGACCCCACAAATCCCATCCTGGACCCCACAAACACCATCCTGGATCCCTGGATCCCACAAAGCCCATCCTGGATCCCACTAATCCCATCCTGGATCTCACTGATCCCATCCTGGACCCCTGGATACCACAAACCCCATCCTGGATGCCACAAACCCCACCCTGGATCCCACAAACCCTGCCTGCTTGGACCTCTGAATCCCAAAACCCCATCCTGGACCCCTGGACCCCACAAACCCCATTCTGGATGCCACAAACCCCACCCTGGACCCCACAAACCCCACCTGCCTGGACCCCTGGATGCCACAAACCCCACCCTGAACCCCACAAACCCCACCCTGGACCCCACAAACCCCGCCTGCCTGGACCCCTGCTCCTCCATCCCACCCCACTCCCAGACCTGCCCTGCTCCGGGCAGTGCCCACCTGCCTGGACCCCTGGATGCCACAAACCCCACCCTGAACCCCACAAACCCCACCCTGGACCCCACAAACCCCGCCTGCCTGGACCCCTGCTCCTCCATCCCACCCCACTCCCAGACCTGCCCTGCTCCGGGCAGTGTCCCCGTGCTGCTGAGCCCCACTCACACAGCGCCTCATCATGGCTCTCAGGCTGAGCAGGAGGTTGCCCAGGTCGCCCACGCTGTGCTGGTGCTGGGAGCTGCTCCTCATGGCGCTGGGCAGCACCTGGTCCATGTAGAACCCCATCATCTCCGACACCGACTGGCAGCCGAGGCTCCCCTGGGGACAGGAGGGGAGCTGCTCAGGGATGGCCAGCAGCACCAGGGTGGGTTTGGACAAACCAGAGCAGGGTGTGGGAGCCACGCTGGCCACGGGGCAACCCTGGTGCTGTTCCCAACGCTGGTGTGACAGCAGCACATGTCCCCCTTTCCAGCTGGCTTTCCTTCTTATGAAACTGCCCCAGGGTGGGGAAGGAGGAGGAAGCCACAAGGGAATGGGATTCTTACCTTGATTTCCTCCAGCAGGTCGGAGCTGAGCAGCTGGATGCTGAGGTCGTCGTCTTGTGATTGCTGGGGGAGGATGGAATTGAAAAATGAGCTTTTCGTTCTTTCCATTTCCTAACAAATGATCCTTCCCCTGTTTGCATTTAGGGTCTCCCTGCAGCAGAGGCCAAGGGCACCCAGTGCAGGTGTGGGCAGAGCACAGTGGCACCAGGCAGAGGCATCACTGCTCCACAGAGATGTTAGGTCAGGCCAGGAGGAAAATTAAATCACAGCCTTTGGTGCCACTGAGTTTGTCCGAGCGAAACTCCTGGGGCTGAGCTGCAGGGGTGGTGCTGTCTGAGGGTGCTGCTGCAGACTGCAAAGCTCTCCAGAGGAGTGGCAGAGCCCTGGCAGCCCCTGGCAGCCCCCCCAGCCTCTCTGCCAGGGCAGCAGGGCTCAGTCCCCCTGGTGTGGTCGCCTCTCTTGATGGGCAAAAGGAGAGTTTTTTGTCATGGCTCCTGCTGCAGTGGGGTGAGCTGGCACCACTCAAAGAATTAAAGCCTCAAAAGCTGTCCTGAGAGGTTCAAAATATTCCTTCCCAGCATTATCTGGGGGATTCACAGCCAGCTGAACATCTAAAATCTTGGCTGTGTTCGTTTGGTAACACAAGCCATGACACGAGCTTGAGATTTGATCTGGAGAATTATCTCGTTTGATTGCTAAAACACACAGACATGGACCAAAACAGCAACAGGGCTGTGACCAAGCTCCTCTATCAGCCACGGCAGATGCTCTGAGGGCATCGTGAGCTGTGTGCTCAGCAGCCCTGAGGCTCCTGAGATGCAGAGCAGGGACCTTGCACAGGCACCAGTGCAGGTGTTGTGCTCCTCCCCTCATAAAACACCCAGTGCAGGTTTTGTGGCTCTTTCAAAGAAAAAAATCTGCAGCAAAAGATTTCCCTTTTCACCTGGCACTGACTTCAGCAGGGCTGGACCTGCTTGCCCTGAAGAAAAAACGATTTCCTTCCTAATAATTCAGTGATTAACTTGGTTTGCAATATTTCGGGGGAAGCTTGGTTAGGAAGCTTCGCAGAGGTTCATTGTGAAACCTCGAGTTCATTGTTAATGAAAAAAGTAGGAAGAAAAACCTCACAGATTTTCTCTCAGTGAGCAACGAAACCGAGCTGCTCTTAACACAAATAATTTCTGCTGGGAGGAAACTCTTCCCCCTCCTCCAGATCCCAGAACTTTGCAGAAGAAAGCTAAAAACCAGAAGAGAAAATAACGATACTTACAAAATAATCCTTAATTTCCTCAAACTTGAGCCGGAGCTCTTTGAGCCTGGCGGGCAGGAGCTGGGGGAAGTGGAGGCAGGAGGGCTGGGCGCGGGCGGGCGCAGTGCCCAGCAGCAGCAGCAGCAGCAGGATGGGCACGGCCGTGCCCCTGGAGCAGGTCCTCATGCTGTGGGCCAGGGCTGCTCCCCTCTGCTGCAGCTCTGGGCTGGATCCCCCAGGAGGGTACAAAGCAGATCTGTAGCTTTCACCTTGATGGAGCCCCTAATTTATACATCACTCCATTTCCTCTCCCCATTTCCTGACGAGCAATATTGGGGTTTTAAGTCAGTATTAAGCCCAAATGTCACTTGGGTTTCCCGTCAACTTGGGTTTCCTGTCCTCTCCTCACACCCCATCAATTTTTTTGTGCTTAGACTCTGCATTTTTTTTTTTACATTGCTTGTTTCTTGTAAATTTAGCTGTGGCTGAGGAGGAAAGCTGCAGAGACACACAAAGAAGCCAAGGTTCTGTGTGATGTTCATTTATTCTCACAGTTCCATTTTTTATTTTTAGATCAATGTTAGATTGTTAGGGAAAAAAAAGTGTTGCTACTTTTAAATCTCAGTATCAAACCTGCAGAGAGCATCACTCAGCAGAATTGCTTTTCATGAACTGTACAAATTCTCTGTCTCTTCCTTTGTCATTCTAATCTGCAGACTCACATCATCACCTGAAATCTTCATTTTTTAATTCATTTGTTTGTTGGTTTGTTTTTTTTTTCCCCAGTTAATGCACATGTCAGCTGAAGTTAATGTGAATTTTCACTGCTCAGCAAGCTCAGTTTGTGCTCCCAAATATCAGCTGGATGCCAGGTGGATCCCAGGGGAGGATCCCAGCCCTGCTCTGATCCCTCGTGGATCCTCCAGAGCAGGATCAGGATTTATGCCATTACTTTGATGCCTGGTGTTAAAGTGTGTGAGCAGGTCATAAAAATCCATTTTCCAGGCTTTTAAATCTGATTTTGTTTCCTAGAAATAGACAGCAGCCCCATCCAAGCAGCAGCATGTCCTATCTTAGCTGGGACTTATTGTCCCAGCTGTGATAAAATTGTCCCTTTGGAGCCACAGAGAATTCCTGTGACGTCTCCCCATTTTCCGTTTCCCTCTCTTTTCTCCTCTCTTTCTATATCTATTTTAGCCCACACCCCCTGCTTCCTTGGGATAAAGATTTCACTTATTTATTCAGGAATTTGGCATGCAAGAAAGTGAGAGCGGAGATAAATTTGGCTTTTCTGAAATCAGGGGATTTTCTTTGAAATCCCTCATGCTATTTTAAAAGAGCTCATTCTTCCCAGTAGGGAAGCCTTCCTCCATTAGGGAACAAATCCCTTAAATTCTCATCTCCTTCATCACACTGATCTTCGTTGAATTTGTGAACTTCTGAGAAGGAATTTATTGCTGGAAAAATGCAAAGTATTGTTTGTTCCTGCATACTGAGAGTTTTTCCACTTTATTTTTAGGAGCAGGAGAGAGGAATGGTTGGCATGCACACGTGTAAGAGCAAAGGGGATGAAGCATCAGCAACTGGAGAGCCCGAGGCAGGGAAAGTGTGGGATTTTGTGATTTGTTTTCCTGTTTTCTGTTGGTGTTGCCTCTTCCAGAGGTGATGGGGAAGCTGCTCCCAGGGCATCACTGCAGGGACATCAGTGCAGCTGAGTCATGGCCATGATTTGGGTCATGTTTTTGGTGACCCATTTTGGTTCCCCTGCTCTAAATCAGCTGTGGGGTTTTTCCTCTTGACTGTCAGCAGAATCCATCTGAAAGGAGAAGGGCTGAAAGCTCGGACAAAATTAGTCTTAAACTCAATTCCCACAGGCAGGATCCCACCTTTCCCTGAGATCCCACACATGGTTTTGCTTCTTTTGCACTAATTTGAACCTGCCAGGGCTCAATAAATCTTCAGTGCCAAGACCTGGACGGCTGCTGAGGCTTCATCAGGGCGTGGAAGCTGATGTGTGAGTTTGGTTTATGTACTCCTGGATCCTCAGATCCTGGAGCTAATCCCACTCCCTTCGGGGAAGGATGCAGCCCCAGGCTCTCCCCTGCAGTGGAAGGGCTGCTCAGGCTCAGCTGTGGGCTTAGGAGCTGGTGTTTTTATGGGGTACATGGCAGGGGGGCTGAGAGAAAGAGAAGAGAAGAGAAGAGAAGAGAAGAGAAGAGAAGAGAAGAGAAGAGAAGAGAAGAGAAGAGAAGAGAAGAGAAGAGAAGAGAAGAGAGAAGAGAAGAGAATGACCAGGTTGGAGGAGACCTTCAAGATCATCAAGTCCAACCCAGCCCCAACACCTCAACTAAACCCTGGTACTGAGTACTACATGCAGTCTTGTTTTAAACACACCAGGGATGGTGACTGCACCACCTCCCCGGGCAGCCATTGCAGAACTTTATCACCCTTTCAATAAAAAACATTTTCCTGACATCCAGCCTAGGCAGCCACAGGAGCTGGAGCAGCCCCACAGCGCTGGGAGCCTCCTTCCACCCTGCCCAGCAGCTGAGCGCTCATTTCCAAACTTCTCTCGTTTCGAGCCACCCTGGCTCTCCATGAAGTCACATGTGACATCCCGAGCGTGCTCTGGCTCTTGTGCAATTCCCTCCAGCCCGCTGTGGAAGCCTGGGCTGTGTTTTGGGGCTGGCAGCAGCGTCAGGCAGCCGTGCCCGTTCCGCAGAGGAAACTCTGGCGTGCGCAGGGCGATTCTCTGCTGTGTTTACCTGCGTTTCCTCTGCCTCGTCAGAGATCTTGACGGTGCAGTTTCGCTGTGACTCAGCCCTGCTGAGGCTGTGGAAAGGCGGTGGCTGCACTACTACAGAGAGCTTCATGAATGAAGAAAACACCTTTTCCTAAAGAGTGTCCGGGGGCCGTGGGTGTAGCGCTGAACCTTTAGGAAACAGCTTTCGTCTTTGCCAAGAAGATCGCTTCAGGAAGGAGAACGTGCGTTCCTCAAAAGCCATTTGTGTGCTTCTTGGAACACAAGCCCCTAGGAGGAACGTTTGAAGGAGCTGGGGTTGTTTAGCCTGGAGAAGAGGAGGCTTAGAGGGGACTTTATTGCTTTCTACAACTTCCTGAAGGGAGGTTGTAGACTAGTGGGGGTCGGTCTCTTCCACCGGGCAGCACTGACAGAACACGAGGACAAAGTTTCAAGCTACATCAGGGAAGGAATAGGTTGGATATTAGGAAAAAAATTTCACTGAAAGAATAATAAAGTACTGGAATGCTCTTCCCAGGGAGGTGGTGGAATCACCATCTCTGGGTGTGTTTAAAAAAAGACTGGACATGGCACTTGGTGCTATAGTCTGGTTGAGGCGCTAGGGCATAGGTTGCATTGACGATCTTAGAGGTCTCTTCCAACCTCATTATTCTGTGGTTCTGTGATTCTACCCCACCTCCCACAAGCTTCTGACAGCGGCGAGTTCACCAGAAAGAGTGGGGCAGCAAATGCTGCTTCTGCACTGAAACAGAGGTTCGTGGACAGACACTTTCTCCCACAATGTGCCATGAGGAAAGGTTGGTCCTGGACATGGTATGGGCAGGGTTTGGGATCAGACATCCTCAGGGTCCATCACTGGAGCAGGGTGGCACCTCACCCTGATAACTGAAGGGCCTTTTCTTATCTTGGCACGGTTTGATGTGACAAATTTGTACATTTTTTTGCCTTCTTGGTCTCTGCATTGCTTTTGGACAGAGGGACCCTGTGTAGCACCATCCCTGGAGGGGTTTCACCATCCCTGCAGGGGTTTCATTGTTCCTGGAGGGGCTTCACCATTCCTGTGGGGGTTTCATTGTCCCCGGAGGGGTTTCACCATCTCTGGAGGGGTTTCATCACCTCTGAAGGGGTTTCCCCGTCCCTGGAGGGGTTTCACCATCTCTGGGGGTGTCCAAGGAATGCTTGGACATGGCATTCAGTGCTCTGGTCTGGTGACAAGGCAGGGGTCTGTCACAGGTTGGACTGATGATCTCAGAGGTCTTTTCCAGCCTCAGTGATTTGTGGTTCTGTGATTTTCTGCACCATCTATTCTAGACGTAACTTGGAGTATCCCCTCTATTTCCAGGCTGTCACGGTGGTGTTGTTCTTTCTCTCCTTTTCAGAAATTCCCCATTTCTCACCCCTCCAGATCTGGACGATCTGCTGCCAGTGATGCTCGTGGGGGAAGTAGGGACTTGGTGGCCTTTCTTTCACCCTGTGTTAGAAGTGATGGCAGTGCTCTCTCAGCAGCCCAGTGCTGATGACTAACAGTTCCTGATGAAGCACCAAGTGCTCCGCTCTCTGTTTTTTTCAAGATTTTTTCCTGCTGGCGAGGCGTGACGTTGGATATTTCAAATATGGAAACCTGGTCAGAACTCGTGGCGTGACTCACGTCGACTGCAACAGGTAAATCCCAAATTGCTCTTTGGAAATTTAACCAATGTCACCGGTTTGTCTTGTCCAGAAATGGGTTATTAATCAGGAATTGGTGTCATTGGACGTTGATATGACTGATAATGTGACACAGAGAGAGCGTTACATAAGACGTTCTTAGAAGGTCCAGAATTTCCACGTGATCTAAATTAAGCTGGAACTGTCTGGAATTGCCACATGAAAGAATCAAGAGATGGAGACATTCCCCCCTCTGCAGATTCAATTTTGGTGATAAACTTAACTGAGAAATATTTGGAGTTTTTAATCACACACATAAACCTCCCAATATCTGCAATTCTGTTGCAGCCTATGGCAGAGATTGAATAATATCCAAATTTAATATCCCCCCTGGAATTCCAGGGTGCCCTCTGCCAACGTGGAAGAGCAAGCTGTGCTTTATTCCCTATTTTCCATGGTTTTGCCATTTTAAGCCCCTCTCTGAGGTGTTTGAGGAGTCCTGGGTGAGGTCAGTGATGCTGCCATCATCCTCATGCAGCTTTTCCCACTCCACAAAGCAAACAGAGGTGTTGTTCTGTTTTTATCTCTTTTATTTCTCCTGAAATCAGCTGCTGACAGGGATTTTATTATGCTCACAGCACTGTCATTAGAGAAACCAACGGGATCTTGGCACTGGAGTCTCAGGAGTGGGGGCTGTGTGCTCCAAGTGAGGTTTTCTCAGGTGAGTTTCTTTGCAGATAACTATAAAGTGTAAAAGTATGCAAAAAAAACCCTCCAA